GCGACGGCGTAGGCGCAAAGGGCAGCGTCCTTGCAGGGGAAAGCGCGGCGCGCAGCGGCCACAAGGCTGGGGCTGCCAGCACAGGCACCCTGGTCAGTGACGAAACGGTTGGGCCCTGGCCGGTCCGGTGAGGGTGGCGGGCAGCCCAGGGCCGTATAGTTGGGGCGGCACACGGACAGGAAGTGCGGCGTCGGGTTGCCGGTCACCACCTGCCCTGCGTTGGCGAAGATGGTCGTGGTGAAGAGGCCGAAAGAGTAGACCCCTGGGGTGGGGTAGGAAAGGGGGTTCATGCCAGGGCCCAGCAGCCGTCCTCCTGTGAGCCCTCTTACGGCTCACATAGGCCCCTGTCTCCTTGTTCCTGTGACTGACATTAAAGCACAGCTGGGACTCCCCCTAACACCACACCCCATAATAGCTGGGCCATGTTCCTCTTCCCTTGGGACCACCATGATGGCATTCTGGGCCTCTGGCCTCTGTCCCTCCGGGATTACCAATATGCCAGGAGTGGGCCCTCCTCTGGAATCCATTATAGCTGGACTAGGACCCCTCAACAGCACTACATCAGGATTGGGCCCATGCCAGGGACCTCCTAGGACCACCGTGATGGCATTTCTGGGGCTCCTATACCTGCCCCTGGACTCGCTATTGCTGAGCTGAGCACTTTTCTCCTGGAGCACCACTCAGCCAGGGCTGGATCTCCAGCCCTCTGCCACAGGGACCACCATTTTGGATGAGCTCTGCCCTACCCCAAGGCCACCAACTATGGCTGGGACCATATTCAAAGTGCAGCCAGTGTTCTCATCTCCCTGCCCCCAGGGCCCCCTGGTGTCTGTCCTGTGCTTTTTCTGCCTGAGACTCTCCTTGGGCAATTTGGGGCCCTCCTCTTATAGTTGTCATCAAGGTTGGCTTAGGCCCCACCCATGTCTCTAGAACCTCCACCATGACTGACCTCAGACCCACATCCCTCTTTCCCCATGAAGTCACCATCATGGCAATCCTAGGCCTTCCGCCCCTGGAATTCTTATTATACCTGAGCCTGGCCCATAGCCGTTTTGCATGGCTGACCCCTGACCGAGTCACTCACCCAGGAAGCGGACCAGCCTCCGCAGCGGGGGGCTGAAGCGGCAGCAGGCCCCAGACACGATGGTTCTCTCCCCAATGACTGGGATGGCTGACGGTGGTGCAGGGAAAAAGGCACGTGCCAGCTCCCCAAGCAGGATCTGTGGGCAAGACCGAGGCGTGGTCTTCCTGGCCTTCAAGCCCAGCCCTCCACCCATCTCCACCTGGCCCTCCTGCCTCCTGGAAGGCCCTTCCCACAGTCTGAGCCAGTTTACCCCCAGTCTCACCGTGAGGGTGGGCCCAGCGGTGACCAGGGCGTAGATGAGGGCCGGGGGTGCTCTGCTGGCAGCCTCAGGCCCTGGGTAGGGCTTGGCATAGGTACTGTCATAGCAGAAGAAGCCCTGGGTGTGCACGGGGAAGGTGTCCGTGAACTCCAGGCGGTAAGCAAGCAGGACCACGATGCCCAGCAGCACCGACTGCCGCCCAGCCAGGGTGGGGAGAGAGACAGAGTAAGAACAGAGAGGGTCAGGCCTGAGCTGGGCCACGGAGATGGAGACACAGAGATGCAGACAGAGACAAGGGGGAGAGATAGAGAGAGAGATGAAGAGGAGAGAGGAGATGGGACTGGGAAGAGGGAGAGAGGACAGGGCCAGAGCTCAGAGAGAGAGATAGTGGGTAGTGGAGGAACAAACCAACAGAGAAAGAAAAAATACTACTGATAGAAATACTAGAGTTACCACAGGTGTAACTCTTATTGTGGGCAGGGCATCATACTAAACCTCTTCCATGAATTAATCCATTTTACTTTCATAACAGTCCTAGGAGAGAGGGACTGTAATTATGCCCATTTGACAGATGAGGAAACAGGCTTGGGAGGGTAAGTGAGGTGCCCAGAGTCTCACAGTAATGATGGGCAGAGCTGGGTTGAATCCCCGATTGCCACTTCCGAAAGTGCCTCCTCCCCCTTGAGGGTCTGGGCAGGGGAGGTACTTGCGCCTCACCTCCACAAAGACAAAGCAGGGAATGATGGAGAAACTCCTCTTCAGCTGAGGTCTCCCTCCCGCCATGGTGAAGGCCGGGCCTGTGGAGAAGGGGAGGGAGTGGCACTGCCAGGGTGGGGCCTAAGGGGAGGTTCAGGTCACCTGCTTGTGGAGTCTTCTGGCCACAACCTGGCCCCCATCCCTGGCCCCTCGGACTACAGCCAAGGAGCCCTGGCTCCGCCCCCTGAGCCTTCTGGCCACGCCTCTGCATATGCAGGTCTTGCCCTGCCCCTGCCCCTGCCCCTGCCCATTGGAGGCACCAGCCTCCCCTGACACAACCTGCTCAGCTCAGCCTCTGCTGGGGTCCCCACAGATTGTATAGTGGTCTTCTCCCCCAACAGCCTACACAGGAGATTCTGACCCCATACCTTTTAGGAGGGCCTGGCCTCCTTAGCATGTGGGACCCATGCCCTTGGCCTTTAACAGAGACTTCTCCAGCTAATGTGGACCCCTCCCCCAGAAAGAAGGGTCCTCACCCCCACTAGTTTTTAGGAGACCCCATACTCTTTCCCCACATGCTTTACAGGAGACCCCATGTTCCCTGTCACCCACCCCCACCAAGCCCCTCCCCCTATACCACTTCCCCCATGGCCCTCAGGGGCCTCCCTCTCCTGTCCCCATGGGCTGTGCCTGACTGGTTCGGGCTGATGGCCAGGCCCTCCTTCTCTCCCAGCTGCCTCTCCCTCTCTCCCTCCTTCCCCCTCCTCCCAGCCCGTCTGCTTTCCTGTATCAAGAGAGGGCTATCTCCCCCTCAATGTGCTCTCCCCTCCCCACAGTCTAACCTCAGTCCCCAGCACTGAGAGGCCAATGCAGTCACACCTGCTTGACCCATTCTCCCAGCCTAACCTCACCTGTGAAAGGGCCCTATGACTTCCTGCAGGCCGCTGCCACGCCCACAGACTCACAGCCACTCCTGGCGGCCAGCAGGGCAGGGATGGTCACCCCCATTGCACAGATTTGGAAACTGAGGCCCAGGCAGGTAAGGGTAGGCACTCTGGGTCCAGTGCCCCATCCACGTGGCTTGCTCTGCAATGTGACATGTGGGGGTGAGGGTCACCAGAGAGCCCAAGATGCCCAAGATGCCCACCTGGCCATGGCCCCCTCACCTTCTTAGAGACACAAACACACACCGGCACCCCCAGAGTACACAAGTCAGCCAGAGCTTCCATCCCAAACACCACACACACACACACACACACACACACACCATCGCACAGCACTCATTCATCCTACCAACAAGGATCAAGGGCCTGCTGGGTTCCAGGCCCTGTGCTGGGTGCCAGCCTTGTGGTGAACAAGACAGGCTCGCTCATTCAGACAGGTGCCCAACACCCACTACACACATAGCTGCACACACACACACACCACAGTGTGCACACGGCCTGGCACAGACACCCACACAGATCAAACAAATGTCCCCCACACACGGTCACTGGGACACAACAGGAGGTCCTTCACACAACTCACAGCCTCACACCCAGCCCTCACTCCACCACCGTCAGGGACAGACTCGAGGCTGCCAACACACTTAAGAGCCACATCAAAAAAAAGAGAGTCACCACACACAGTGTGTGTGGGGGGGGTCACAGAACTGGTCACAGCGTCACACCCCCAATTACAAGGCACAGGATGACACACATTAACAGTCTCTCATCCACACTGACAGTCCTAGGAGCGCCCTGTGCCATCCACAACCACAGCCACATGGCCACACGAGGGCACAGACATGGACCATGGCACAGACTCGCACACAGAGCCACACAGGAAAGGCACATGATCACAGCCACACACTGGAACACAATAACGGCCCCCCCACCACCATCAGAAGGAACACACAACAGCAGCCACACAGTGACAGTCACATGCACACAACCATACAGACACCGAGCCAGCCACACAATCACTGTGACAGCAGTCACACGGCCACTCAAAGGCGACCCCGACAACACAGCCACCACACACTCACCATCAGAGTGATAACCACGGCGACAGCCGCAAATGACAGCCACAGGAGACACAGTCACAGAGACACCACACAGACACCCCTGAAGCCACACAATCTCTCATACAGCCACACACTGACACATAACGACAACCACACAATCACCGTCAGCCTCACCAGGGTCGCCTCCCCATCTTCCCCTCCCCCAGCCCGGTCCCCAAGCCTCAGCTCGCAGCCTCCCCTCCCCCTCCCCGTGCTGGACCCGCAGGGGACCCGACCCACAGGAACCGAACCCTGGCCAGACAGACCAGACCGAGGGTCGGAAGCAGGCGAGAAGGGGTACAGGGGGCTCCCCAAGGCCCTCCCCCTCACCGGGTCTAGACTCCTGCCGCCTGAGCCCCGGATCCACCTAGACGGCCCCGGCGCGGCGGGATTGACAGACAGACGGCCGGCCAGAGAGCGAACGCAGAGATGGAGACGCCGTCGGCCGGCCGGGCCGCGCCGCGCCGCGCAGCGCAGACTCCGCGGCGGGGAGAGGGGCGGGGCCACCGGGAGCATTATTTGCATAACCCGTGAGGCGGGGCCTCGCGGAGGCTCATTAGCGTGATCCGGGGCGGGGCCTCTGTTGCTCTTTGGGGCAGGGCGTTTTAGAATAGATTCGGGAGGGAACAAAGGTTGGAGGTTGGGAGGGAAGACCCTGGTGGGTGCTGAGAGGAAGAGGAGGGTGGGGTGTCAGAGCGTGACCCCGGGCCGAAACCCTGGGCGGAGATGAGAATGATCTCCCCACACACACCCTGGAGTGCTGCTCAACCCCCCTCACCCCTGAGGCTCGGGGCCCTAGGGTGGCGCCCTGAGGATATGGCGAGGCCGTCAAAGGAGTTCTGCAGCAGGTGCACAGCCGACCTGGGGGGAGATGGGGATCTTGGGGTCCCGGGGGACTCTGGACTGCTCAGAGCTGGGGCAGGGAGGCCATGGAGGGGGCAGGGGCAGAGATGAGTCCTGGGAGGAGAGGGACTCAGGTGGGTTCCAGGTTCCGGGGGTCGCTGCTTGATCTTATTAGGAGGAACGCAGGGCAGATGAGGGTCAGGGGCCTCAATTTCCCCATTTGGGCAGTAGGGACAGCAGGCCAGATCGCCAAGGGCCTATCTGGCCACTCATATCTAGACAGACTTACCCCTGACCTTGTCATATACTAAATCCAGCCTCACACTGTCCCCTGACCCTAGGCCCACATATCCCGAACAGTCCCTCCCCAAGACTGGGTAGTAAACTGTGGGGGTCACTCTGAGGCACAGGAAGCAGCCAGGAGCAGCAGTCCACAGGTGGAGGAGGGTCGCAGCTAGTTTATTTTCTCTATGGAGGGGTCTTCAGGGAGAGCAGTCCCAGCTGCTCAGGCTGTGGAGAAAGAGGGTGGGTCAGAGGCTGGCCTGGTCCAGGTGACCCCAGGGCTGGAGGTCAGGGAGCAGATGCCCAGGCTGGGAGTTGGAAGGGCGTGTACTTGGGGATTCCAGGGCAGGCCAGGAGGGGAAGGGTAGGTTGGGGCAGGGGAGTATCCACACCAGGCGGGAAGGAGCAGCTCTTGCTGAGTGGTGGCTGGGAAGGGTCCTGGTCTGAGTCCGAGTCCGAGTTCCAGGAGGGGCGTGGCGGGCTCAGGCATCGGTGCCCCCTATAGCCAGCAGGAGGGACAGGTGCAATCCTGGCACAAACCCTGAATGTGACCCTCGAGTGGCCTTTGAATATGGGCCCAGTGCCCTTGATATTATGTGATCCTTGATTATGTCCCTTGAATATGACCCAACATGACACCAAAGTATGACCTCGATGACACCTGAATTTTACACCACTGACCCTTAAAAAAGATCACAGTGACCCTGAGTGACCCCTGGATGAAACCTCCAGGGACTCTTTAATGTCACCCCAGAAAATTATTTAATGTGACCCTAGAATAAGACCCAACAGACCCAACCACCCCCAACTATGGCCTCTGAACATGACCTCCATGTGTGAAGCTGGAGAATGAACCTCCCCCACCCCTGGAGTGCTGCTCAACCCCACTCACCCCTGAGGCTCGCAGCCCTGGGGCAGCCCCCTGAGTATATGGCGAGGCCACCAAAGGAGTTCTGCAGCAGGTGCACAGCGGACCTGTGGGGAGATGGGGATCTGGGGGCCCCGGGGGGGGGACTCTGGACTGCTCAAAGCTGGGGCAGGGAGGCCATGGTGGGGGCAGGGGCAGAGATGAGTCCTGGGAGGAGAGGGAGATGTGGACTCAGGTGCGTTCCAGGTTCTGGTGGTTGCTGCTTGATCTGATTGGGAGGAGCACAGGGCAGATGAGGGTCAGGGGTCAGAGGTTAGAGTGGGAGCTGGGCATCACCATATGTCACCCAGCTCCTTCTGGAGGTCATCCCTCCAGGAGCCACTGCCTCCTGGTGGCAACTCCTCAGTCTCTGGCCAGTTGGATGTCTCATACCCATGCTGCTTCATTTTGGTCAGGACCTGAGGCCGGGGGAGATGGGAGGATAATAATAATAATGATGATGATGGTGAAACATGTAATATAACATTTATCACATTCCAGGCTGCCTTCAAAGCGCTTATCACTCAGTTAATGCAGCTACTTGGTCAGGTAGGGCTCTATTGTTACACCCATTATTCAGATGAGGAAACTGAGGCCCAGAGAGGGGAAGTGACTTGCCCACAGTTACAGAGCATTAAGAAGCAGAGCTGAGATTTGAACCCATGCTTTCTGGCTCCAGTCTGATGGTGGAGGCTGGCAGAGATCCCCATAACCCCAACTCATGCAAGGTCCCCGTGCTCTCTACTCACCTTGCAGCACTTCACCTGTGTCTTTTGCATCTTCTGGATGTTCACCAGGTTCTCCGTAATCTCCTCTTCCTGCGCCTCTGTAGGGGGAGGGGACTCAGGTGGGCCAGAGCTGCAGAAGGACCCCCCGCCCTCCTGGTCATGGGCTTTGGGCACTCACGTAGCTTTTGATAAATGAAGGTCACCTCGTCCCGCACCAGCTCCAGCTCCTCCCACAAGAACTTCTTGCTGAGGGGACAGTGCAGCCTCTGGCCTCCCATTTCCTGACCTCCTGGCTTCCCATTTGCCCACCTGCCTCCCCAAAGCCTCCTCCACCTCCCATGTTTCTATCTGTTCAACTACCATCTCCCAGGCTCTGTCCCCTCCCCATACCTGCCTACCCACCTGTCCGCTCCTACTACTATTCCCCCACCTCCTACCCCTCCCTAGCCCCGTGTCCTCTCCTTCTGACCTCCAGCCTCCCATTCCCTCAGCCCCCCATTGCCTGGCTTCCAGCTCCCCACCTTCTGCCCCCCCAGACCTCCAATACCCCCAGCCTCTGCCCCCCTCAACCTCCTCTACCCTCCAGCTTCCCATGCCACCCCCACCAGCTTTCTGATCCTCCAGCCTCCCTTTCCATCCCACCTCCTGTCTCCCCTATTTCTGGCCTCCCAGTCTCCCACACCCCCCCCCTGCCCCCTGCCCCCCCCATCCCCTCCTCTTGTCCCCCAAGATTTCCAAGGCCCCCCAGACTCCCTTACTCAGGCCCCTCCCATTTCCCCCATCCCACCTGTGGTTCCCTCTCCCTGGCCTCCCTTCCCTCCCTCCTGGCAATACCCACCTGTCCCGGATCTCCTGAGCCAACAGCTGTAGGCAGCGGGTGGTACGGGCCCGCTGCACCTCCTCGTTGTCATACAGGGTCTTCTGCAGCCCCTGCAGGCCTTTAGCCAGGGCCTCATATAGCTCCTGCCGTCCCTTCTCCACGTCCCACTTGTGTCTCTCCTTGTCTGCCTGGCGGCTCGTGGGGCCCAGCATCTCTAGAGAGATGGTGGGACCTTGGCTGAGCCCCACCCACACCCTGAGCCCAGCTTTGAACCCAGCTTGCCCCCACCCTGACCAGACTCTGGTCCTGAACCCAGACACAGCCAACTTCTCTCACCCTGGCCTGACTCAGCTGACCCTGATAGGAGCAGCCTCAAGCCTTACCTTGACCTTTGGCCAGTTCTCACCTTCAAGCTGTTGGATCTTGATTTGCTGCAGGCAGCTGTCCTTCAACATGGTCACTGAGTGGTTTAGGAACTCGAAAGCCTGGAGGAAGAGGCCAGGCCTGGGGGTGAGAGCAGGGGTGGAGTGTGGAGGGGAAACAACTGCTGGGGGCGGGGCTGAGGTGGCTCACCTTGGTCTGGGCCTGTAGCTGACACCTGAGTGACTCCAGTCCACATCTCAGAAGCTTCTGGGATTCGGGAATCATCACGGTGGACTTAATTGTGAGTACAGGTGAGGGTCAGCCGAGGCTGGGAGGGGTTGGGGGCAGGGGCAAGGTCAGGGCAGAGGTCAGTAGAGGCTCAGGGTCTGGTTGAGGGGGGACAGGGCAAGAAGCTGCGGTAGGCTGAGGCAGAGGCAGAGGCAGGAGTAGGGGGTCAAGGTCAGGGACAGGGATGGTGGGTGAGGTCAGGGGTAAGGGTCAGCTGACAATGGGGCAGGGATGAGTGGGTAGCAACGGTGGGGGTCCGCTGAGGCTGGGGCAGAGGGTGGAGGTAGGAGCTGGCAGGTCTCCCACCCACAGTCTTGTTGAGTGGGAAGGTTCTCACCTTTGGTTTTGGAAGAGCTAGTCTCCCAGGGGTTCTATGAAAGGTGGGCATGAGAGCAGTAATAATCTATCCCTGGTCTGCCTCCTTGCTCACCCCAACCCAGTGTGTGTGGGCCAGACATGATTTGGGTCTGCTGAGTTCTGGGTGTCCTAGACCCCCAAGTGCAGGCAAAGCTGCCTCCAGGCATACGCATGCACCCCACCGCCACCCCCACCCCCACCTCTGCCCCAGCCTGAAAACACTCAGAAGTGCATTTGTGTGGCAGGCCCGTGGGCTGCCCCTGAGAGCATGCACCTTCAGAGCCACATCTCTGGTTGCGCTCAGGGAATGGCCCTCCTCCTTAGGGGCATCAACAACGTCTGCAAGGAGCACCAGTAGCCACTGATGCACAACCACACATGGTCATCAAAACACGACCACAGACACGCAGCCTCAGACACAGCCGTGCACACTAAGTCATAAGACCCAGGGCATGCACTCATGCCCATCTCAGACACACAACCACAGACACACAGGCCGTCACATCCAGAGACAATCACAAACAGGACCTCATTAAGACACACAATCGCACATCCGTTCCATTCATTCAAGACATTTTTAGTGCAGGCCTGCTGAGCACTGGGCGCTGTTCGGGGTGCTGAAGACAGAGGGTGTGAGGGGTCTCGAGGAGGACTCTGCCCCCACAGCTCCCTCCCTAAGCCCTGCAGCGGTAGATAGCGGTGCGGCAGGAAGGGGTTTCCCGGGTGCGGATGACCTTAGTGTTGCTGTGATGCCTCTTTGGAGGGTCCTGGTCATTACAGTGCTTCTGTGAGTCTGAGTTGGGGAGGGACCCATGAGACTGAAGCCCCGAGTCTCTCCCTGGCCTCCAGGTTCCAATTGTCACTGTGTTTTCCGGTGCAGCCAGCTGCAAGGTCTCTGGCTCTGGGGTCCTGGACCAGTGAAATGTATATTCCAAGGTCTTTTCTGAGGAAGGGCCTGGGAGTGGGGTGTGTGGTGAAGGTTTCCTGAGAGCCAGCCCAGAGCACTCCAGCCCCTCCTGCTCTCCAGCCCCAGGGCAGCCGCTCAGCGAACCGCAGCACTTGTCACACTTCTCATTAGCAGGCAAACACACGTTGGAGGGTGACCGGAGGTGAGCAATAGCAAGGCACGGAGTAGTCAGGGTCCAGGGGTAGGCGGGCCAGAAGAGGGTTGCTTAGAGTAGGGGGGACAGAGGGCTGCACTGAGACCAGCTCCCAGGTCCTGACACTCTCATGCCCTCTCTGACACCCCAGAGAGGCCTCAGTCCTGAACACAGGCCTCTTATTTATGATAGGAGCCAAAGCTGGGTGAAAGATGATCCCAGCCCCAGGGGTTAGGATGGGCAGTGAGAAGGACCTAGAAGATCCCACAGGAGTCAGTGAGGTCTGAGACGAGCCTAAAAGAAAAAAGATCTTAACATTGGGCCCTAAAGGAAGGACATCCCTGGCAGGAAACAGCGTGTGCAAAAACTTGGAAGTCTGCAACCAGGTGCTCTTTGCAGGTCATGTCAGGGTGGCTGGAGGCAGGGTCCAAAAGGAAGCAGCAGGAGGTTAGCAGGGCCGTTCAAGCAAGGCAGGGCAAGCCAAGCCAGGGAACTGGCTCCCCAAGTAAATGGGAGACATAGAATGTGAGCAGGAGAGGCAGAGCATATCTATTTAATAAATGGTAGCTGAATGGGGTCCCAGGCCTGTACTAGGTGAGGCTGGAAACAGGAAAGAACTCAGTTCTGGGTCTCACATCCACACCCCCTGCCCTTCCAGTGTAGTCAGGGCTGGCACAGCTGGAGAAACCTGGGGGAGGTCTGTCTGGAAAAACTTCCAGGTGAAGGGCAACTTGCCATGGGTCACAGTCAGCCAGAAAGGCCACAGTATACGCCTTTCTCTTCTTTTGTCCTTGCTGGGCCCTCTGGTATCTTTCCCCTAACCCAGTCCTCCTGGAAGACTCCTACATACCCTTCAAAACCCTACTAAGCATTGCCTCTGTAAAATCTTCCTTAATCCCTTTTTAAGCTCATATTTTCTGAGCATCTTGCTGAGTGCTGAGCACCACCCTAAGCCCTCACTGGGTGTTCACACCCACCCTGTGATGTAGGAGTTATTATTCTGCCTGAACTGTTCTAAGCTACCACTTCAAAAGTCACCGCCTCAGGGAGGTCCTCACTTCCAGAGGCAGTACAGCATGATGATTAAGCAAGGAGACCCTCCAGCTAGATGGCCCAGGTTCAAATCCTAGCTTTGCCCCTTCCCAGCTGTGCGATGTTGGAGGAGTTACTAAACCTCTCCATGCCTCATTGTCCCCAACTATAAAAATGGGATGTCATACTATCCACCTTACTGGGTTGTTGTGATTAAGTAAATTAATCCATGCCAGTGCCTGATATGCAGTAGTGGGAAGCTCAGTGTCTGTCCTTGAACATCACACTGAGGACTTGGTACTTGGGAATCATAGGAGCCCTGGGAGACTTGGAGGGGAAAGGCAAGATGCATTTCTGAGTGTCAATTGTAGGCAGGCCCCCAGTCGAGCCCCCCCTCCCCCTCCCCCTCCCCCTCCCACATCACCTGTTTTCCCTCAGTCCTTCCCGATAGAATTCTTGAAGGAACGGGGCGGGGTCGTTTGCCTGGGCCCCGCCCGCCGGGGCCTTGAATCCTGCGCCCCGCCCGCCGGGGCCTTAAATCCTGCGCTCGCCAAGCTCCCGATCTCCTTCCACCCCCACCTACCACACACCACCCGCTCCTGCTCTCCCATCAGGGACCGCGAAGCCAGTCCCCAGCTGTGACGCTGAAATTTGATCCCGTGGAGACACCATCCTATTAAAACGCGCGGAGCCCAAAGGTACAGTCACAGAGAGGGGTGTGGCTGGCATTTTAGCTCCGCCCCCGCCGATGCAGCCGAAGACCTCATTGGCACCTTTCCGCTTCCGCAGATCTTAGGAGCCGCGGTGTAATTGGGTGAAATCCCGAGGAGTGGACGGGATTCCGTTCATCGATTAGTCAATATCTAAGAGGGCGGTACAGGAGGTACAGATCTCCGATCCGATTGGCTTCTGGCTTAGCTGGGAGGCGGGACGAATTCTTGGTCCCACGAGGGGAGGTGGCCGAGGAGGTCCGCGGCCACCGCGGAGCGCGAGAGTGAGGTACCAAGCCCAGCCCGCCTGACCCCCTTAGATCCGGCCCCGGACTCTTGAGTGCTGCAGGTCGAGGCCCGGGTCCAGTGGTGGGGTCGGTGTCCTCGGGTCCGCCTGACCTCCTTGGATCCGGCCCCGGACTCTTGAGTGCTGCAGGTCGAGGCCCGGGTCCAGTGGTGGGGTCGGTGTCCTCGGGCCCGCCTGACCCCCTTAGATCCGGCCCCGGACTCTTGAGTGCTGCAGGTCGACTCCGCGGCATGTGGGATCTTCCCGGACCGGGGCACGAACCCGTGTCCCCTGCATCGGCAGGCGGACTCTCAACCACTGCGCCACCAGGGAAGCCCTCTCTTTTTTTAATTAATAAATTTATTTATTTATGGGTCTTCGTTGCTGGGCGCGGACTTTCTCTAGTTAAGGCAAGCGGGGGCTACTCTTTGTTCCAGTGGGCAGGCTTCTCATTGCGGTGGCTTCTCTTGTTGTGGAGCACGGGCTCTAGGCGCGTGAGCTTCAGTAGTTGTGGCACACGGGCTCAGTAGCTGTGGTCGCGGGCTTTAGAGCGCAGGTTCAGTAGTTGTGGTGCACGGGCTTAGTTGCTCCGCGGCATATGGGATCTTCCCAGACCAGGGCTCGAACCTGTGTTTCCTGCACTGGCAGGCGGATTCTTAACCACTGCACAACCAGGGAGCTCTCTGGCTAATCTGGGGCAGGCTGCCACAATGAGGTAGGTATCAGCACCACCCCCTCCACCTTCCCCAGGCATGTACCTCTGTGGGGAGGGTGTTTACCCCAGTTTAAGCTCAGCCCAGGTGAAAAGCTTTTATAGTTTGTTCTATACTTTCCAGATTATTAAAAGAACTGCACACTCCTTGTAAAATAAAATCCCAATAGTATTTAAATGTAAGCAGAGAAAAAAGCAAAAAAATCACACATGAAACCTCACACTCCAGAATATATGTAATTTTACAAATGCAGGCTCTTTCGCACATACTGTCCGGCAGCACTGCCCAACGCTGTGCAAACACTCAACCGCTACTCACTATTACGATTATTATTTTCCTACCCAGACTGGGAAGAGATGTTGATTAGCACGATAATATCAGTAGCTTACATTTTTGGAATGTTTGCTATGTGCCAAGTCGGATTTTACAGATGAAAAGGCTGAAGCTCAGATAAGGTAAGTCACCTGTTCAGGGTCACACAGCAAGAAAGTGGGTCCTACGCAGAAACCAGAGCTGCTCCCGCCACCCCCCCACCCCATCCCCCAAGGGGCCCCCAGACCCTGGAGGGCCTCTGCCCTCTCTAGCCCGGCCTGGCAGGGCGGCTGCCTCCCTCTTATCTCAGCCCAGGCTGCCTGCTGGTCCCGCCCCCTCGGGGGAGCTGCCACTTGGAGGCGCCTGGCCGGGAAGGCCTGGTCAGCTGTGTCCGGCGGAGGCAGCTGCTGACCCAGCTGTGGACTGTGCCTGGGGCGGAGGAAGGGGGGGGGCAGGAGCCCTGGGCCTCCCGTGGCAGGGGCTGCATCATGTATCATCTCGGGGCACCCCTCTGGCCTGGAGTTGGCTTCCTCTGTCTCCTACTCGCTGGGGCAACCTGGGCTCCCCCACCCAACCCACCGGATCCCAAGTTTGAAAGGAAAGGTAAGGGTGGAGCTGAGTGTGGACCCCCGCACTAGGTCCTGGAGGGCAATGCTGGGGCCTGAACTTCCAGCCTGGGTCCTGGGGGCTATGCCAGGTTCTGAGCCCGAGTCTGTGTCCTGGAGCCCCAGCTGGTGTCTGAACCCTAGACTGGGACCTGATATGGCATACTGCGGGTCTGTATCCCCAGACTGCGTCTGCGGGAGAAGGTAGAGAGGGGCGTAAGAGTCCTGTTTTATCTTCTCAAGGAGTCTGACACATGCTAAACACTAAATGGGGCAGGGGTGGTGCTGGTTCTAGGCCCTGTAGTCTAGAGTCCCCAAGGGGAGGGGACCTAGCCGACCCTCCAGTGGGGGAGGGAGGCTAAAACCAGGGTCCGAGTCAGAGGGGCCGGGCCGCAGGCGTCTGTAAAC